AATATGCAATTTTTATGTTATTGGAAAGTATTCGAAGGAGTCGCCGGCGGTAATCAGTGCAAGTTGCGCACAGGTCAAACCTCATACTTGTGATTTGAAGAGCGCATTGGATTGTGGGAAAACCAATGTTTATCAACGCAAATGTGGCACATGCGCAGCGCGACGACTACCGCGCTTTAAGTAATATATTGCAACCAAGACTAGTAAACTAGTTTATAACCAAAGCGGTCAATCATACAGAAAGACTGTATTATTAAATTAAACTAGTCCATATTTATCTATTTTCAATCACGACAGTTCTTGCCATTCTCGTTTTCTTATGAAAGCACATCTCGAGATTAGCCCTTATGTGATGTAAATGTTTTGGTTGTTCACTTCTGTTACATACATAGTACATAAATAAAAATATTAAATTTGACCAAACCAAAAATCGCAATCGGACATACGGCGCTAATCGTCGCCAATGGGTCTAAGGAACTTCAACAACGAAAACTTGGTACGATTGCATTATTGGTCTAGTGTGTGCGGGGAGTAAATGCTCCATCTTCTACATACCTTGACGATCGCATGGACAGTGGAAATTCGAAGACCCATGGTGAAGCTGAACATTTAGCATTTTTTGCTGAGACAAATCTCTCCGATTTAAGTTGGGAAAAAAAGTGATCAGACAAGAAACAAGTAAGATTACACCTATGAGAAGGAAGGTCAATTTGATACCCAGATAAGAGGCTTTCTTATCGCTAAACATCAAGATTATAACACTTACAGTGGTTACAACTCGTGCGTCTTGACATTCATCTGTTTTTTAATTATTTTCCCGGGGCTGGATGAATACCCGTAATTTAGGCTCCATATACAACCCATCGTCGAAAATCCGTTTCTTTGCGGCAATTAATGTTTACAACACACACACAAACGCTAGTATCCTCGGGGGCGGACATCCGGGCATTTTCACCGCTTGGCAACCCTGGCGGTGAAAACAAAGGCCAAAAACTCGCAGAAAATGGTACTTTGGGATGGTTGTTGAGAGTCCCCTGAACAGTGTAACAAGATTAGCCCTATGTGTGTAACATATGTAAATTTGGTTGTTCGGGATTACTTCAAAGTTGAGTTTGTGTTGTTTTCCCGAATTTTCACCGGCTCGACTGGCGTTCCACAGCAGCGCGCACAGAGCCCATAGAAATGCATGTACAGCGGTGCGCGTCATAGCAACGTGGAACGTCTGTGGCGTAGCTCCGCCCCCGTGTGATTAAATAAATATTTCAGCAAGTTTAGTCAAACATAGTTATAAATAAATAAGCCTAGACCCTACCTTCAACTTCTTAGCCAATCAAAATGATTTATTGTTTACTCTACGATGACGTAAACAGTATGTTTGCAGTCGAGGTTCTAGTAAACTTCCGAAACCCACAGGATTGTGAGGATTGGCGAAGCTTTTAAAGTTCTTCGAACGTTCATTACATCCTTAAAATATTATCTATGCAAATAGGCGGCGAGTAGTCAGTGCTATTGTCTTTATGCGTCGTTGAGGGCGCCATCCAAAGCATCTCCCATGTAAACATGTAACCGTTTATTCTGTAAGGGTATTATATGCAAGTAAAAAAAAACATAAATTAAAAAAAATATATATTAAAATAATACCATAATGTAACGCGAAAAAAATAAACATATTGATACTGAAAATTGATTGAGTATGAGCAAAGACAAACTGTTTTGTATTTCTTGTGTCATGATGATAGATATTTCAGTTGTCAAGAAGACACCTTGTGTGTTCAAGGGTGAAATTGAAAACCTAGGCTGAAGGTCAGGTACCAAAATAATACTCGAGAAATTCATATCCCCCTTCCCCCATATGTGTCCTTGTCCTCGGGACGGGCATCCGGGTATTTTCACCGTCTGGCAACCATCACGGAGAAAACAAAGGCCGAAACTCGCAGAAAACTGTACTTTGGGATGGTTATTGAGACTCTACTGAACAGTGTAACAAGATTACCCCCTGTATGTGCATCATATATACATTCGGTTGTTCATGATTACTTCAATGTTGAGTTTGTGCTGTTTCCTTGACTAACTGTTTTCACCGGCTCTTCTACCGGCGTTCCACAACAGTTCTCGCAGAGCCCATAGAAATACATGGTACAGTGGTGCGCGCCTTAGCAACACGGAGCGTTCTGTGACGTAGCTCGATCCGCTCCTAAGGATACAATATGTTTAAAGTATTCTCAATGATGCCCAAATTGATCAATTATGTAAACTAAAATAGTCTTCCGTATTTGTATTTTACTCATGCAGCGCCCTCTGTCGTCCAATCGATGTAAGAGTAAATATAATTGTTTCAATGCATCTTTTTCAGTCATTGGTGGAGTATTGTTTGAGTTTCTGTATTCATGAACTCCAAATAGCTGGTAAGATTGTTCTTGATATTAAAGAGGTGGGGGTGCCGCGTAAACGTTTGATAGTTCGACGGAACCAGGGTAACCTACGAACAGATTGCGAGAGCTAGAAATAACCTTACGTAGAGATATTTGGGACGTGTTTAAACCAGAGCGCGCAAGTTTCTGTGGTAACGCGGACTCGAAACTTCATTCACTCAGTTATTTTTTTTTTCGGAGTTTGGGTTGGCTATGCGTTTGAACACTGAAAGTTTATTGATCCTACATACCTGCCATCATTTCAAAAAGTACGGAAGAATGATATTTAAAAACCAAACTAACAACTGTGACATCTCTGTTCATTGGTCAACTTAATAAACCAAATTTAGGGGCGTTGATCAATCAAATCGCTACTCACTGGCGGCGACGTTCTTGCTTGGTATATTATTGGTCACGGCGCGCTTTGGATTGTATAAGGGATGCGGATAACGCCAGCATTTGTCTGTTACTAGGTGACTGGCATTGGTATATATAGGACTAGTGGACGGAACTCTCTCTCGTATTGTCTCACGTTTTTCATGACATGACAGACAAATTAAGTTAATCGAAAAAAAAAAAACACTAAAAATAATATGATAAAAATTTGTAGTAGGAAATATGGATGTCCACAACAAATCAAACATTGCCAAACATTAAAGGAAAGCCTTGGAAATACGCTAATGCTTCTCCCTCGAGAAAAAATGTTTGATTTTACCGTGACCTCAATTCGATTACAAATGGTGTCGAAGGTACCATAGAGGGCGCCATTTTAAAGACTTCTCAAATTGTAGAGTACAAGTTACGATGTCATGCCTGTCAACACACGTGACGTATTACCGGCGGCGTGACGTGTTACCGGTAAACTTGTGAGGCCCAAGCTAGTGAAGATCCGTGCCTTGATAGGGCGTGCATGGGTGAAGCCCAAAATATAAACAAATGACGTCACAGAAATGACGTCACAGAGCACCAGCCTACGTTTGTAAAAGGGTGCCTATATCTGCTTGAAATGGCACAGCGGGTATCGACATTTATGTAAACATCACTGCGCACTTTTAATACGCAGTATGTTTTGTTTCAGCCCCCGTGGCAACGAGCGACAATTACACTCACCGGACTAGAAATGTACAAATGTCTTATAATTTTATTAATAAAATGTATCTCTCAAATTCTTTACAGTAAATAAAAAAGGTCATAGTAGTACAACGCTAAAATTCTTTAACAATGTCTATGAATGAAAATAACGAGGTATACACGTTGAGGGCGCTAACATGGTCGCTACGTAAAAACAAGAAAAAACAACAAAAAAACATGACACTGCGATCAGGAATAACACGGTCACGTGATCCTTTTCCAGGTATGCGAATGCAGTCCAATTTTGAATTAGGGTAAAATGATTGGCGCAGTACGTCATTGATATATATTTCCGAGTCACGTGGGGACTTTTCTGAATGGACAAATATGAGCACGTGACATCAACACAGCTACGCTCAATGCGTTTGCTAATTGCTTTTTTTTTTTTTTTTTACCTAAAACGAAAAATCACCATCTCCGAATGGTCGTAGATCTTAACAAAAAATACTGATAAATAATAACGAAAACATTAAAAAAGAAGCTTCAATTGAAAATGTGAAAAAGTTCGAGGTATTATTATGGCGAGTCAGTTACGGAAACAAAGGATGGATGCAATAACGTCACTGTCTGCTCTCGTGTGTGAATGGTGATATCTCGCGGGATTCCGTAACGCGAATGACCTGTTCTGATTCCCTGATACATGTAGCGGTCATTATTGTCTAATAAACTACAGTTGTAGTGAACAGTACTTATACTTGAATATTTTAAATAATTTAAATAGAAACACAGAATTGCTGGTAAATTACATAAATGGTTAATTTGTATTTACAAATATTTTCGCGAGAGTTATGGAAACGTCTACTTCGAACTTTTTTTTTTATGACGGAGCTCAAAGTGTCAGTCCCGTTCTGGGCACTTGTTGATAGAGTCAGATATTGTCCGTTTTCAACAGTATATTCTTTATAAAATGACACCTCAGATACATCCGCCATTTTGGAATATGGTAAGTCTGATTGTCTGACGCTGTCTGTTTTCAAAGCGCCTGATGCTCTCGCAATTCTTTTTCTTCAAGTTTCTCTCGTTCAGTCATCTTCTTCAATTTCATTCGCCTGTTTTGGAACCATATTTTTATTTGTCTCTCTGACAAACTGAGTTGTTGCGATAGCTTCGTTCGTCGCTCTCTTGTAAGGTACATGTTGTTTTGAAAGGCTTGTTCTAACTCGAATATTTGCATTTTGGTGTAGGGTTTCCGTTTGGTTCGCCGGGGTGTCGTGGTGAATGTTGTCAGCCAACTGCAATTCGACACGTCAGTGACACCTGTAACAAAACAAGAAGATAGAATATATTAAGTCAGTCAGTCAGTAATTGGCATAAAGCCTTCCCCTGATTGGTTTGTCGGGTATCTGTTGATGTTAAGTAGCGAATCAGATATTGTCTTACATAGCTAGCGGACAGCCGAGATTCACGAGTAAACCATCGTAGGCTTTGTATCAACAATATGATCGACGCACATACTGAAGCCAATTTTTAACTTAATTAAATTAAAATTAATTATATTTCTGTTTTCATATGTGTATCTTGATATCAAATTCAATATTCTTTTGAAATATGAAAATTTGCTGAAACTTTGAAGAATTGATAGAAATCATGCATATCCTAAAATAAAAAAACAAAGTAATTTCAATGTGTTCAAAATGGAGTAGCATTTTTTGAGGAATTACATACTCGCTAAACAATAATAATTTTACGTGAGTGGAATTTAATGATGAATCGGGTAGTAAAAAGTAGGTCTAATGGGGATATACTATCGTTATTGTAAATGTCAATGACCGCAGTGTTATGACTACGTGACGTCATAAAAAATTGACGTCCGCCATTTTAAATACGAATAGCATAGTAGGAAAAAAAAATGTGCGGAAAGGAAATAGAGAGAGCCATAATCTCCAATAGTTTCTGTGATACATAAGATTTCTGATTTATATTTTCTATGGACAAAACATTTCCATTTAGTTCTTATACTACAAGGATTTCCAGCAAAAACTGAATCTCATTTTGTAGTATGTGAAACCAATCCCATGCCCTTGGAAGCGGCCATGATATTACAAAAACGCGTGGATTTGAGTCCGGTAGTAATTACTTGACGGGGTCTGATGTGTCATCTCGTTGGTCGCCCAGGACACAACCCCCCTACAGACTTTACGTGCCTCTGTCTCTTTGAGCTACCGTGCCGACAAAAAGGGTCTTAAAATTTTACGAGCCATAAAAACAAATGAAGAAATGAAAGATGCCGCCATTAGAAAGTGTTATAGAATGCAAATAAACAGACGGGCACCGAGAAGATTGCTAAGGTCACTGCATCTAATAAAACTGAGGCATCTCTCGAAAGCGACTAAATATCGGTTTTATACTTGCATGAAGTAGGTGGTAGTGCGATGTTTTCTTTCGAATTTTCATAGCAGTTTCGGCGAAAGGGTCTAATACACGTAAACAAGCAGAATATGACGACAAGACAGGATTTTGCGCAGTAGTAGCCGGTTGTATTTTATTATATATTTGCTGCGTATTTAACGGTGTGCTTCGTCGCCAAGCGGTCGTTGCACTCCAAATTGAACGGGTACGAATGAAACGGGATCGCAAACTATAAAATTCGCTTTATGGAGTTATACTCGTTTAAATTATATTTTGGAATTCTGGGTTGTATATAGATCTATCAGTGAATTCTCTCTCATGTATATGAATATGAAAACGGACGCCGTATGCCTTATCTATTAATCACCGGAATATGGCATTTGAAACCTCGAGTAGTGCTACTAATACCCGTGATGTTTTTATGGTTGGGAGAGTTAAACAACAAGACTATGTCCCCACACGTACATGCCACACAGCCGAGGAATGGTTGCAATGACTCGCCCAAGGTTGTGGTTATTTTACTGTACGATGAACCGTTGCTGCGATCGTTTGATTTACTCCGCTACAAATATGACTCGACATTGGCTTTCGACGGATCATGGATTGGCTTGATATCGTTAGGGCTAGCGGTCATGATGACCCGTGTGTGATCAGAGTTTTATTTTATTAATACGCGTACAGTGCGGGCCCCAATGATTCGCTTCTTGCTTTCGTGAACATAGGATTTCCATTATGTCTTAGCTGCTTCCTGTGAAGCAACTTTTCACCAGGGTGACGTACATTTTGAATTACAGAAAATAGTGTGTGTGTTTTCTGTTCATAAATAATTTAAACTATTAAATGTAACTCCTAGTATTTGAGACGATTCGTTTCTTGACGGCGACAGACCGGTAAGTTGGGAGCTCCGAATATTAGTGGTTCCTTCCGTTGATGCAAAATCAGTATGCACATAACACTAATAATAATGTTTACTTCGTGTCTAAATTGCGATCAGAATGTTTCTTCTCAAACTGGAATCGCTACATTACAGAATAATATGTGATTTATTGTGCCGTCTTACCTGGTACGTTCCCCGTGTAGTTGGATGCTGGATGGGCTCCATAATTTGTCGGGTTAATACCGTATGTGTGTTGTGATATCGCTCCTCCACCGTTAAAAATCGGCGGCGATTGAAAAGTGTTCAGACATTGCCGACTTTGGTTAAAATCATACGAATTCCAGCTAGGCAAAGTGTCATTGTAGTTTGCGTTCGTTGTGTCCATGTTGTTATAGTACTGGGGGTATCTGCACGGGAAAACGCTTCCCTGGTCCGATGTCACCGCGTTGCTGCTCGCCATGGCGTTGCTTAGATAGTTGTCGGTTGCCGTCTGCTTCTCGCGGAGGAGCGAGCTATATCTGTCCATACTGTTTTTCGGATCGACGAACCAGTCGGTACAGGAGTCCCTCTGTATACTCGCATGCATGGTCACAGGTGTCTTTACGTTTCGGTCGTACAGCACTCCTTTCTCAACGATGTGATATGTTTGCCGATACAATGTGCGTCTCCTTAAACCACCCCACTACAGCACAGTTAAAAAGAAACGCGGCAAAATCGACAAACCTTTAATCTCGGCCCGGTAACCTGGGTATTTATAGTTTCTGGCAAGTAAAGGTTGGGAATTTTTATGGTGTCATTTTTTTTGCGCACCGCCTGCGCACTTATGACGTACGAAGTGCAGTGGTCGAACAGCCAATATACGGGCGGGGTTGAGTAATCATCATTCCTGCGGGTCGTTGATTGGTTGACGTTGACATACACTTTCCCATTCATCATATTTCACACCGAGAGTACGCATGCGTTGTAATTGATGTTTTTGGTGTCCAGAGAACCCCGTACATGAAAAGCGTACGTCGTTACCTTTTACGATATTTAATTAACCGCAGGGAGAAAACAGGAAATATTCGGCCACTTTCTATCACACAGCTCTCTGTCTACGCAGACCTTTCAGGGACTTTTTTGGGGGGAAGGCCAAAGATTGAACGAGGCATATAGTAGTCGTTTATAAATAAAACTCAAATCGTGACAGCCAATAACTGACATGCCTCGGGTCAGGTGGGGGCATAGAACTACACGCTGCAATTGGCAATTTTGAGAGCGAAATTCGTCGATTCATTAAAATTCGAGACAAATGATTATGTACAGGAAAACAAATATAATATTTAATTTTTCAGATATCTTAGAATTGAACATCAAAATAATAATAATAATGTTTTACATGACTGGGTTGAATTGGTGTCGGCAACGCACAATGACCTGAGAATTTTTATGTGCCTCGGCGGTGCTTTTTATCACGGCTTCACCAACACAAGGCCACTCATGAGAAGGCGCTGTTACGCCCAGTGAGCGAGCCACCCAGGGTATCCACACCCGGACGCCATCACGATTTCTTCGCTACACAAACAGTTTTATTATTATTATTATTAATAATACAAAAAAAATGCAATTTTGCCGAAATACGTCGAAGTACCCTCATACGAAGTATCTGAGTAATTCCGTTTTTTTGTTTGTATATATAAGTGGATTTCCGCGGATATTCTATAAGGTTTATGGTAAAAATTTGATAATTTGAAATACAGTCCGTGTTTCATCATAATAGGGGCTTAGTATACGGCGATATACTGGTGTATTTACGGCGGTCACGCCCGAGAAAATAATGCAGACTGTTATTGTCGATATTATGTTAATATACAATTCTGTACTGCCAGTAATCGTAGATGTAACAGTGGCGCGAATAGCATAGTTAGCTGTTGACATCAAAATAAACCAAACATCCAATCCAATATCCAACATTTAACATCGATATAAAAGATTGGTTTAATTGAAAACTTGCATAGAACGACGATTATTTAAATCATTACGATTGCACTTTTTGTGAATTGAATTTACGAACATTTTCGTTGACAGTGCTTCCACGGAACGCCTACACGCTCGTGTCGCATTGGGGGAAAGCCCCCGTCAATGTGCACTAACACAAATCTGGCGATTTCAGGTGGATTATAACTAACATCTCGTGATTAATTTTTATGTTTGTGCCAGATATTAGTAAATGATAGTCCGTGCTACGATAACAACTACCAACAATGGTGTATATAGGCAGTGTTTTCGCCGGGTACTGTTCAAGACACTGAGTAAGAGTGGATCAATCCCTCAGTGCCATGCGGGGCGAAACTTACATCACAAAATGTGTCGCTTTCACGATGATTTGTATGGTTCTATCGCTATTTGGGCAATGACGGGCAATGGAGAAAGCAATTAATGTTGTTTTAATAAACAGATTCTCCAAGATGCACGAAATTTCGATGATTTTACTTCAGTATAGTTGCCTGTCTCCGCGTATTTTTCTTACACACTCGATTTCAGGTCACTCACCTATACTTTCCGGCGCATGTTGCAGCAAATTACTATTTCACTTTTATTCAAAACAATTAAAAAAAAAAATACTCATGTCAAACATCTCAAGTTGGGAATAATTTCTGAGACTGATGAAAAATCTGTATTCCAATTCACAAAATAGTATGTATAATTCTTGAAGATCCCTGGTTTCGTGAGTGCTCGGGATGGTCGAAATAAAAAAAAATAAACATTTTACCACGTTTTGTGTTTTCCGAAAGTTGATTCTTGAACATAGATATTTTGTGACAGTTGTAGTGCAAATGATCGGAGAGTGGAATTCAACACAGTTTTTTCCCCGTCCTGAAACAATCATCTGCCAAGGACCTCTCCCTGTTCTCAGCGGTTCGGTGCCCTCCCTGCAAATATCAACGCATGTGACGTAACAGAGAACCCTCACCGGGGACCGGCTTTAAATTTTAACTGCCGTGAATGGAGCACGGTGAGAGCTCGTTTCATCGCACCGAGTTTACACAAACGTTGAAAGGAGCCGACCCGGATTAACGACGGGCGATATGGGCTTCAGCAGACAGTCATATAACGAGCCACTCTTACTGTATTTCTTTGTAGAAGTCATGACTCCCCGGTCAGATCCCGATAACGTCGTGCAATCACTGCCTACACTCTTCTTAACGAGCGAGTTTTTCCAAACAAAACTAAAAAAATTTGAATTATTATTTCTGATATATTTAATAAGGCCTGTGCTGTAGTTTGTTTGTCAGTAGTGCACAAACCGTTGGTGTTTAGCATTTTCTTGGTTCATACTGACGCGCAAGTGTTTTCATTTGCGAAATGCTTCGATGCCGTCTATCGCCGGGAGCATGCTTGTTGTAATGAATGACATGATGACACTACGCTGAATTTAACAGCAACTGTTTGTTTGTATATTGAGGTAGAATGATTCTAAAAGCTTAAAAGTAATGTAATTTTGTTTACATTTACATATTTATGTGACATTTTATGTTACAAAATTAAGAAAATCAAATCAAAATGACACCGTACACCAAAAAAAAAAAAAAAAAAAAAAAATCGATGTACAGAATAAAAAAAGAATTTTGTCTGTTTTAGGGCATTTTACCATCATTTTCTTTATCTCAATATCTCAAAAATGTGGTGCTAAAAATTATATGCAGTGTCTTATACCAAGTATTCGTCACGGTGTCAAGACATTATTTTGACGGGCGTTTTTTCAACGAAATGCGCTTTCTATGCAGTCCATTGGAACCGATTCTAATGTTATACCTATTATTTTCATTTTTTCTAAAAAAAATGACATTTTTCTAAAAAAATGACAGTGATTTAAAAACTCCGCATTAATTATAGACAGATTTGCCCTAAAATATGCCTGCATGTCGAAATGTAACATTCTGCATTGTGTGACCACTCCTCGCATTTGTTTAGTTCTCGGCTGAAAAAAAAAAATTCTCGGCACAAATAATGGTCCTATGACTATGTGCGTCATTTTTATGAGGAACTATTTTCAATTGCGTATTCAGATTAAACTCAGGTCGAATATATAGCAGTGGGGAATGTTTATAGCTTACGCACTGAACAGCTAATCTCTTCAAAAACAATTCCTCTGACAGAAATGCAACAAGATGTGGTACTTTGTTAAAGCCTAACAGATTCAGATAGTCGAATATATGTCAGATCGTATTAGGACTGTGTCTACGAAAATAAAACAGTTAGAAAGTCGTTCAATTCGTCAACGGTGTTTGGTTGTACAGTAGTTCGTCGTTTAGAATTTAGTCCAATCGCAAACAACAAACAAGAACAAAAACACAATCATGATAGATTGACGTCTAAATCAAACCGATTCCAACGTTTTCTTACGACCACCGTGTCATCCATCACGATATTAAAACGTTTTTCTCAACTGAATGTGGCGACGTGCTTGGACCAAAACAACATTATTGTCGCTATCAGTGAGAAATGGTAGTCGCTGACCTTGTTTCGTTTAGTATTTAAAAAAAAATCAACTATATGGTTAGTTAAGATATATCTTATACGCTGCGTCCAAAACAATTCACAGACCAATCACTCGTTTTTAAATTATATTCAAACCCTGGATGATGAAATATTTCATTTTATTTTTCTCGTGAAATTAGTTTTATGGGCGATAAAAGTTCAACTTTTCTCTTGACGTCATGAAAACCTAGACAAACATTGAGCCTGTTTTTGTCGGAGACTTATTCATTTGCGTTGGTATTTCTAGAAACGTTAATCACTAAACACTAATCGAAGTGATAAATATGATATATAGTAAACTATATTTGGTAATTGTTGTGTTAAGTAACTTTTCAAAATAGCTAGATTTTTCGAGCAACGGCTCTGTATCGATAGCTTTTTTCTTTTATGTTATCGATAAAGCGCCATTGTTATTGCCTACTATATGCCTATTATATGCCTACTATATGCTATATGCCATCGGATAGAACTGATTTGGAGGCATTCAAAATGGAATCCTCAAATCAGTAGAGATAGATAGATTGCTGACTACTGGCAAGGCCGGTCGTTGAAGCGCGGTGGTCGTCGCGCAGCGCGTGTTCGAATTTCATGTAAATAAACAATGTATTTCACACGCGTTGTAAGCGTCGCTGTGAGTCTCATATCGAACAGGACGCGGCACGACGACTGCCGCCCTTTAAGAAAAAAAAATGGATGTGATTATTGTAGAGGTGGCTTGAACGACAAACAAAAATGTAGTTTTTTTCACTCTTCCATAAAATGGGAATATCAGTTTACCAAATTACAAAATCTATATATGACTAAGATTGTTTCATAACCAACTTATCAATGTTAGGTTTATCCAGTGCATTGGCGCGGCTGATTACCTCACTGCATTGTGTTATCTGCTTTGAAGGAATACTGCTCTCAACTCGTGTGTCTACAAAAAAAAATCTCGATGGCATATCACACCAGTTGCATCTTTTATGATATGAGACTTCAAAAAACGAGGTTATTAATGTTGCTCGCATTCCCGTAGTTTAATCGGTGACTTGGGGTGTTGTATCATATTTTATGATCGAAATTTACAACTGTAAATTACGTCACAAAACAAACTGTTAACAGATTATGTCTGAAACAATTCCCGTAATTTTTCAATAAATGTATTACATATCAAATGTTTACCATGTATTCTCTAGAAGAAATTACATGCTAATTAAAAAGATAAGGATATCATATCACGTATATATCAGCGTTATTACAGAGGTGTGAATGTGGGGGGGGGGGCTGGTTCAGTGTATATTTCTGTATTTTATATTTTCGATTGGCATTAGTTGACAGCTCTTCATGCCACAATACGATATGCCCAGAGTAAAGCTGACGTTCGCCAACTGTGTAAAGGTTTATATAACAACCTTGTCTGAAAATTAAAAGATTTTGAAATAAGATAAACATATAAGTTGAATATGTCACTAAAATGCCCCCTAAACCCGATTCGAATGATCACCGAGTGATGGCGTCAAAACCCCATCTTGTGCCCACATTAGTTTGTTACGCCCTCGTTAATGTTACGTAATAGGTACGCTGATGTTGTTACCCTGAGGGGTTTTGAAGCAATTTCTTAGCCTCTTTACGCCTTTCTTCTTTTGCGCCGATGTACAGTGACACGCAGAAACGAGTTGTAAACGCGCTAATTGTAAAACACAACATTTAAGAACTGGCGAATTACAATGCTTCGATTCTAAAAATAAGTGCATAAAAACGCGAAATGTTCACTCAAGCCTTTTGGCATATTGCATAGAGTTTTATACACAGTGACTTGCTACTACTGTTATTTACTACAATACCTCTCTGATTTGTTAACTAATTTACATAAAGTAACGACGTGCCATGTATAATTTGTTCTATGCGTTCACTTTTTTTTTTAATATTTACAAAAATCATTTTCACCCTTGACATCACTATTCTTTAAATTCGACGATTTCCAACTCAAAAGTTTCCCAAAATATAAGATGAAGCATATTATTGTTATTATTTAGAATAATTCTACGTGTAATACCCATCGATCTGTCGTTATTGTTAAAGCGCGGTGGTCGTCGCGTAGCGCGTGTTGGAATTTCATGTAAATAAACAATGTATTTTACTCGCGTTGTATACGTCGCTATGAGTCCTATATCAAGCATAATTTCTTGCGATTTTTATTTTGAAAAATCATTAAAATCTACAGGCAATTGAAATCACGTAATTAACAAGGAAATTATAAAAAAATAAAATAAAAATACAAATAAGACGTGTAACATGCTGCACTAAGGTTTCATCGATTTTAAACAACATAAGTTCAAAAAATGGGAAAAAAACACTGTCAGTAAGAATAGTGGTGTGAACATGCATTGAAATATGCCTATGCTGACTTTGCGTATACAAGAATATATATTCGATGAACAAAAAAATAAAATAAAATAAAATAAAATAAAATAAATTCAATATAAATATAAATATTAATAGTATTTTAATCTTTTCACCACCAGATTTGTTCGCCCCATTTTTTCTGCACTTTTTTTTTCTTATATTCTTAAATATTTCTGGAAATGAACCCTAATTTTTGGAGCCAACAGACACAATTTGAGTTGATTTTCAGTTTTTACTAAACATAATTGTATTTTTTGTCTCAATTTTCTGAAAGAAAGTGCAGACTATAACTGGGACTTTTTGTTAATTTGTGATGAAAAGAGGGGACTGGTGAGGAAAAAGTTAAAGGAACAGATATTTTTCGGATCATCTACTAACAACATATGTCACGTGATTTCTTCATCGACGGCGACTTATTGTTTAGAACACGGAATAAAATAACTATTTGTTGCAGTTGAACAAAATATTATCATAGTTTCGGGAGCTCAACTTGGCAGGTCGTTTTAAGCGCGCGCTTCAGATTTTTTTCCCTTATATTGTAACATATGAGAGAATTTTTTGCATGGTAGCCTGTAACGTCATCGTAATGAATCAGTCTGGCTCAGGTCGATGAACCCGATAATGTTTTCTGCTTATCGTCAAAATGGGCGATGCCATTTCGACATTCTTCATCACTGCTGTGTACGAGTCTGTTGGTCTCAAGCACGAGGTTTCAACTTCCGGTCTCGTAAAATATCAAGGTCGGTGTGTTTGTACTTTTCCCAATTCAAAATGGCGGCGTCCGCCGACAGCGTCATATATGTCCTTGATAACGAGAATTACGACGGGAAATCCTAGTTACGGCCGGTTGGTTGATTATTTTTACACACTGGTTATAAATAACTGTCAATATCGTGCAGGTGAGGGCGTTGGAGCGCGTATGTCATTTAAGAGTAAACACAAATTAGTGCGCTCAATCGGAGCTGGCCGAAAACAGCAGTAAACTCATTTCTACACTAACGAGAAAGTTGTACGAAATGATTAAAACTGCTACAGTAAAATTGTATATTTTATAGCAAAATGAAACCCCGCCATTTTATTGAGCGACATTTCGTCTTGTATTGGATAGATTTATATTTATAAGTATAAATGTCAATGTAATATAATGTAAGAAGATTATGAAGACATTTAACCCGCCATATTTTACTTGTCAAAATGCTGGTGCTAAATTTGCTCGTTATTCCCTTTACTATCATTTCATTTTGTTAATTTTCGACCAAATGGACATAGTTCCTCGTTGCTTATGTGTTTTATTCAACATTTTTAAAAGTACAAGTTATTTTGTGTTGTCAAAGGTGACAAGACTTCACTTTGGCGTCCGAACCCTGCAAACATTCATGTCAACACTTGCCACCATATATCCTCAAATCTATGCATAAGCCTACATTCATTTTATTATATATTTTTTCTCAAAAAAAGATCAAAACTGCAAAAAAGAAATTATAACCATTCAGTCCAAATTAAAAAAAAAATAATCCCCCCCCCCAAAAATTGACATTCTGACGGGAAAAATGGTTCGTCTGCGTGATATGAGTACAATATTTGTAGCGCGTCAACTCTCGTTTGAATTCTCATACAACCCCAGGGAAGACAACAATGACATCAAATGACCCCGACTGGAAAGGTAAACTTTTTCGTAGTATCCTAGTACTAGTGTATCCGTGTTGTTTATTATTCCCGTCACGAAAACATCTCAAGATTCAAAAATTATTACAATATGCACGCCGGAAGTTCACCGTGACCTTTTCGCCCTGGACTCTTTTTATTGTTTCGAGTGCTTAAAAAAACGGTGCACGTGAGACTCGCACAGTAAACAAACAATATACTGACTTGTTTTATTTACGAGGCGTCTCCTCAGCCTAAGGCCACAATTGTGGTATGTCAGGGCTGCCAAGGTTGGTACTTCAAATAAAATATATATAAACAAGTCAACAGTATAAGTACTCATTTATTTACGTAAAATAACAAATTTATTTATTTATTTATTTATTTATTTATTTATTTATTTATTTAATTTAGTTGTACATTAATGTTAGTAAAATATTAAAACTTATTTATTTATTTATTTATTTATTTATTTATTTATTTAATTTATTTATTTAATTTATTTGTACATTAATGTTAGTAAAATATTAAAACAAATGTATTTATTTATTTATTTATTTATTTATTTATTTATTTATTTAAATTTATTTATTTATTTATTTATTTATTTATTTATTTATTTATTTATTTATTTATTTATTTAATTTAGTTGTACATTAATGTTAGTAAAATATTAAAACAAATGTATTTATTTATTTATTTATTTATTTATTTATTTATTTATTTATTTATTTATTTATTTATTTATTTATTTATTTATTTATTTATTTATTTATTTATTTATAATGAAGAATGCCTAAAAAATTAGAACAGACGCAAAATGTGTGTGTAAATGCCCACACCACGGTGATTACAACCTCATTTACGGCGTGCTAGTAAATCACGTATTATCACCATACAGTGTACAGTGTACTCAACCTTGTGTAAACATACAATAATCAACGTTATCTCAAACCGATGCATCATGGGTAGTTGTGTGAATGGGTACACTCAATAAATTTAAAAAAAAAACGCCAACTATTATTAGGAATGTACTACTTTATTCATGGCATGAAAAAAAAAAATATTAAAAACACTTTTCATAGAAATAGCTTTATAATATATGCATGGAAAGCAACATTCACTCATCACGTGACTGCTTTCATGACGTAATGTTTCTGACAAATTATGCCCCACCACTTCATAACATGATATTCTTCAACAAAATACTGGTGTAACATTTTGCTATTTTTTTTTATATTTTTCTATATTTTCTTTGTTAATTTTGAACCAAATAAACCTCTTTTTTTCTTTTTCTACCGATCATGGTCATATTGTGGGTTACGCCAATCTGTAGTCTCATTTGCAGTTGATGCTTAAAGCGCGGCGGTCGTCGCGCAGTGCGTGTTCGAATTTCAGGTAAACAAACAATGTATTTTACACGCGTTGTATACGTCGCTATGAGTCCCATATCGAATAGGACGCGGCACGACGACTGTCGCCCTTTAAATTTGTCAACATTACAAAGCCATTGAAATTACTTTACAAATGCTCTTATTGCGAACGGATACTAGAAATATCATTCTAAAAATGTTGGACTGTATTAGAACAAAACAAAACAATATCAATATGGCGGATATGAGCCGTACTCGGTCAGAACATGTCACGTGACACAGAAATATGCAAATAAGAAATGTATTAGGATGGACACGTGCACTTTATCATCAGTTCATTGGTTACTCGCCCTCTCATCGTCACATGTTTTGAAACGATACAACGAGACACCAGCCCAAGTCAACAGTCTTGTTGACTTCTGTGCACGGAAGAAAATACATAACAACACAAAACAATCTAGCATATGTGTAGTTAATTTTGATTCCCTGGAATTTGTCATTCGTGTTTGTAGTCACTGTATTATACAACCAAAATAAATCACGTGGTTATGCAAATGATCTTTGAGTTCAAATATCAACTAACCAATAGCAACGTTGTTCGTTCATAAATCATCAGACCACGTGACACAAAATGGCGCATAGCTATCTCTAAACAAATGTGCGCAAAGCACGCATCCCGGGCCTGGTAGTAACATTTTTTCAAGAAATTTCAATTTTAACGAATTGAAAAACGGAAGCAATATTTAAATTATTAAGTAAAATACAAGCGTTCTTCTTCGAAGTTCAGACCAGTTTAACTTTGCAGGGTATACTATTGGACATTATTACTGCCACGTTGCAACAATAAAACCAGCAAGTGCCTGGACGTGTGACCTTAAGAGGTCATGAGATATTCACTATTTTCCCACCCCTTCCCCATTATTACTAACTGGAAAACTTTGATTTATATATAGTGAAATTGACAAATAAAAGACGACTAAATAGTCTAAATAAAATGAAATATGCAGTACAGATGTCATTTGACCTCTGACCTCTGTCGAGACCGTTCACCTCAGAGAATGATTCGCCAACAAATTGTCACGTGTTTGCGATATGTCATCATTCGTACACGGAGTAACTTTTGCTTGTTTCTTTAGCGTGGTAAGGAAGACAACAGCTCGTTTTCTTTTTCAATTTCTACACGTGTTTAAAATCTGATCGCTTTCAGTTTGGGTCTCTTTCAGTTACATCATTGTTTACGTGACTGTGGTCACGTGATTCTGCCTGTATGTGCATCCACGACTCGGAAGATAACAAGGATGCAAAAACCAAGTTATGATTGGTGCTCGCGATGTTACTTCCACTCCAGTGTATATTACTATATACCTAATTATACCAATCTATTCTGGAACTATTTACTAGTAGCCTATCTAAGCTACGACTGTCTGCGTTGGCTGCGGTGGCGTGTGCTGTTGGGTCTGTTGTTGTTGTTGTTGTTGTTGTTGTTGCATCATATCTTGCTCATTTCGCTCCCTATCTGTCATTTTCTTCAGCTTCATACGCCGGTTCTGGAACCAAATTTTAATCTGCCTTTCTGTCAGGTTCAATGCCTGTGAAAGACGGGACCTCCGGTCACGGGTCAAGTACATGTTCTGCTGAAACTCTTTTTCAAGTTCAAATATCTGCAACTTTGAGTAAGGTCTCCGTTTCGTTCGCCGAGGCGTCGTCGTGAATGTGGTCAGCCAGCCGCAACCAGAAGGTCCTGGATTAAAAAAACAAAGAAATAAACATTGATTAATACAAATACATTTCCCATTGACACAATACAGGAGTAACAATGAATTAATTTATTTAAAATAATAATACTGTTCTAAAATGGCATATTAAAATAATGTATTGAAAGAGAGCCATGCGATCGAAAAGTGGTGGGAAGAGCGCGTGCAACTAGACCTTAACTAGCGGTTATGTTGAATATTTTGGTAAAAATGACAAAACATCGCAATATTGTAATATATGAAATCAATTAAAATGCGTCTGGTATCCAAAAAAAACAAAAAAAAAACAGACGTAATTATATGCAATTGCATGGTTCACTCCGTTCAGTTGTTTTAACCTTTTCACCACCAGTTCCTTCTTTTCATCACAAATACACAAAATAGTCCTGTCTATAGTCTGCATTTGCCTCAGAAGATTGGGACAAAAATAGCCAATTTTTTGAGTAAAAACTGAAAATTTATCCAAATTTTGTCTGTTGGCACCAAAATTAGAGTTCATTTGTATTGAAATATTGAAGACTATAAGAAAATAAAGTACAGAAAGAAATTGGGCAAAAAATCAGGCTGTGAAGAGGTAGCGGGGCAATACAGAGTTTTATGTTTTCATCATCATTTGCAACTATTTGATGTAAGGGTGACTGCTCTTTACAATGTACCCTTCCGTTATTCAATATATGGATATGTTCATTTTTTTTGCAGAATAGTTATAATTTGAACGCATTAAAATATGCCTGAATGCATGATGAAGAAACAACAACAATGGCGTTTACGTTTTGATTCCCTCTTGTTAGTGTATAACCCGAGTTACAACTTCCACCTCCATGTACGAAGAACTACTCGGAATCCCATGAACTTGTTCAATTGTAATGGTTGTCCATATCGATATTTTTTTCCGGCAGAAAAAAAGCGATTTGTATGCAAAGATACATTGATTGTTCGGCTAAGTTAAAGCGCGGTAGTCGTCGCGCAGCGCGTGTTCGAATTTCATGTAACTAAACAATGTATTTGACACGCGTTGTATACGTCGCTATGAGTCCCATATCGAACAGGACGCGGCACGACGACTGCCGCCCTTTAACGTTGACCGAAACTGTGTATTCGATACAATCACGAAAGATGAATGACGTTGATGGCTTTGATGGGCGGGCGGAACTCTTACGAAGTGACGATTGAGTGTCGACTTTATCGATCCAGAATAATGATTAAATAACCGAGTTTAACCAAAATGGCGGCTTTGTTGCCGGCGGCAAACCATGATCTGTATCTGAATACAGCGGAGTGCTTTCGATGTGATCTCGCCGTCGCTTGCGGCTAGCGAGCAATTGAGAACACATGAAAAGCAACAAAAAATTGTTTTCGTTGCTTTGCGGTCGGTTGTGTTCGGGATGGGGGTATCAAGTGACACCAACGCACTGTTCGACGTGGTGTGCGCGTAACTGTTTTAGAGAATTTTAAAACGTGAAAATCAGCAAAAAGACGTTCTTCGCAGTTTAAAAAAATCTCTATTTCAAGTGGAAAACATATGCACACACAAACAAAACAAGGGGAGTATTTATTTTGGCCTATCCACCCCCTCCCTACTAGGAGAGTAACAAACGCAGAAAGCGCGTGCAAGGTGGTGTATCAATTTTGATTTGTTGAATACCCGAACTAAGAATTCATCGCTCATTAGAAAAGTTTGCCAAGGAGAGCAATGCCTTATTCGAAGACACCGATTCATCTATGTACCCGATACATCCAAATGAAATGGACAACGCCGTACGCAAATCACGCTTGGATTAGGCTACTATGTTGACAGGTTTGCATGATAAATCGACCCGTTGTCTGGCATATAATAGATAGACAAATGATTTGTGTTGATAAACGGGTAATCTCAGCAAAGTAATGAACAGTAGTGTCGGTTTAAAGTGATATGGGTAATAGATAAGGGTCGGCGGAAAGAGGCGGCGTAGTAATTGCCCCTCTATTCAATTCAACACACAAATTGACTAGATAAATCATTATAAGCATTCGATTTCGTTTGAAAAGTTCACGCGATGCAAGTTGATAGATTTGGTGATCTTTTGTTTAAATCGTCATCCGTATTTATTTATTTATTTATTTATTTATTTATTTATTTATTTATTTATTTATTTATTTATTTATTTATTTATTTATTTATTTATTTATTTATTATATTTATTTATATATATATATATATATATAAATGACCAATGTCACGTGGGCATCACCTAAACTTAATATTATGTTTAATTACGCATAAGAACAAAACAACCATTTTGCCAGTTTTTAGATGTGTGCGCTTGAGTTTGACGTATGTTAAGGATGGGAGCAAGGGTCGTGGGCGCATATATACAATTCTGTATTTCACAGTAGAGATGGATTTTGACTACCTACATGTTATATGTTTTAGTTAGCTCTGTGTGTGAATTGTGTGAAAATGTTTTTTTCTTCTTCTCAAATTAGTAAAGTGTATGTGTGTGTTCTCTCGAAATAGGCCTTTTTGAGTTTATTAGGTGCTTGGCTGGAAGATTTAGTGAACAAAATAATGCTAGACACTGGGAGAAAAAAGAATATATGCAACGTGTTGTCGAAACAGTTGTTAGCAAAAAGCAAGTAAAATAGAAATGTACTGAATAGGACTTTGAAGACGCCGCTAAAACAAACCTCAGTGGCCATACTATTCCCGCCACCCCCTTGATTTCAAATTATTGACTGCGTGAACCACGACTGAGAACAAGAGAAGCGATGGAGAGGTTGCGCAAAATACCCGGGAGCTGGGGCAACACACATGCACGGACACAGAATGGCGTTTTCGATGACGAAATGTAGTCGGTTCAGTGGTATTGACGACAACTAAAGACTGACGTGACAGGGAGAGAAAGGGTGGCGTAGTGGTATAGCCAAATTCATCGGGGCTGCGTTTTCGATTGCGATGTATTGGGCGACCAGGTGGTGTTGACGGCAATGAGATACCGAGTTACCTCATAGCATAAAGTTTCAAACTAAGTTTGCATGAAACATGTATTAAACAAAACAGATAATAACACTGAAGTCGTTGTAACGAGCATCGTGACGGGGAGGCGGGGAAGGGGATGATTACAACAGCCCATCTGCGCGCTCGTCTGGAAAAACGACACGTGTGTCAGTTGTACAGTAAGCCGAGCTAAAGACTTGGAGCTCAGATTATGTTTTACAGGCCGGATTAACCGCCACACGTGTTGTAGCAAACGATTTCGTTTACATGATATTCGCTTCCAATATATTCCGCAGTATTGCGGGTACCAGTGGAGTTACATTCTGTAAATTACGTTTATAATTTAAATACGATCGAAAACAAAATGAAACATACATTCCCTATGTCACTTTACAATATGTTTGTTTCGTTGAAAGTGGTGCGTTTATTTCACGAATGTGCGGCACACCCTCGAAGGTGCGACTAAAGCTGAACGTCGATATTTATAACGAAAGACAAATGATCAAGTAAAAAAATAAAAATAACAACATATTCCCGTGTAGTTAGCAAATGAACCTCCGCGGTATCTCACTATCACGCCATTTCTGAGAAGCGCGCATTGTTTGAAACTTGGATGCTCTCTCTGAGTGCATAAAACGATCTTAGCGTGTGAGGCTCCATTCATGCTCAGTTGTATACACACGCAATGCCATGCTTAGCCCCAACCAGCATTTTTCCACATTCGCTTCAATTCCATTAGTTTTATGGACATCATTCGGAGTCAGTCAAGAAACGTTAATCAGGTCTTTTCATTATCGTAGATACGATTGTAAAACGAATAGAGGCTGATTTAGTGGTATATTGAAACGCCAAGTACCCCGGCTTACACGGATTTTGGTTCTACATTAATAACCCAATAAAGTCAGCGTAAATAAGTTCCTAAAATTAGTCCAAATGAGTCTGATATGAGATAATATTAAATCTAGGTGGGTTTTATCAAGGATAAATAAGTTTATGTATCATTTAAATCCCGTTTATTGGTGTTTTGAAGTTTCAATTAATCGACAATGCCGGGGAAACTACGTGCGATGGTAATCACCGGTATGCCGACGTGTATTGATTGTATGGAAAGAAATTTTGAACATCATAGGAAGATTATTTTAGTTATGCTCAATAATTATCACGAAATTGGCTATTGTGATGGTATAAAACATCGTCGAAGTATAACGGAACATATACTCGTTCAAGTTATTTTCGCTATCGTGCCCGCGTCGTGAAAACTACTCGCCCCGTGTGTTGGTGTTTTAAAACTGTTGATCTTGGTGACATCGCAACTTAAGTGTTTTTCAGTCGTTTTTTTAGTTTCGTGTATGAAGGGCTGTGACAGGCGCGTCTTGTCATATGAGCCCCCTACACAGGCATGCGACGTATACATGCTTAAAATTCGTTCCTTTATACGAAATCGAACGCACGTTCTACAAAGACCGTTCTGTTATAGTACACACACACATGCATTGATTCGATCACTCATCGCCGAGATGTGTCGCATTTAGGTTCAAGATCCACGGCCTTACCATTTTAGCCATTTAGTGTGTGACGCTATAGCCGCCCATAATCATGTCCCAAGTTCAAGCGTAGCCCCCTCTATCGACCACAATGGCTTGAACAACGGGATAACAATTCCCGTCACAATGCAGGCAAGCATCGCCTCTATCGACAATTGACCGCATGCTTCAGCCACAGTAATGTCGCCATATCGCGGGGCCGCCACTTGTCAGTATATCCCACTCCTACTAAGATACTCCTATTGTTAAACCAGTATGAAAATAATGGGAAAATATAGACGAATGAATATTAAATTAATGCCACTTTACATCGGAAACTAACGCAAGGGCGTTACAAATCGATATTGGTGTATCCCAACTCAATTTACGATATGTTTAGTGTGACTTATACCAGTGGTCCTCGTTAGCCGTAGTCACCGCGCTGACATAAATCAACGATTCCCACATCGCACCAGTGAACGCGAACTATTGTCAGAATGATCGTTGCCGCCGCGGAGTACGTCTTCACAGAACAACAAAAACGGCTAACGCCTATACTACATGGTTTACGAACGGCAACACAGAGAATATATTATTTTCAAAAAGACTCATAAACAAGTTATAGGAATTCACTTGATCTGTCTAATAAATTATTATAATATCTGTAGTTTGAAGAATTCCAATTTTATTATTGTATAGAAACATATTCGCATTTGACGGTGAACATTTTAACGATCTGGACAAATTTGGCACCTCTACTTCTGTGACGAAAAAAAAAAAAAGAACGAAACGACAAATGCAACATTTCGGGTAAAATATTCACAACGTCTGAAACCAGCTTTTTAGAATTGACGATTTCAAATTGTAGAGTAGTTCGATGTGGACGCATATTAGTATAAATTCGGTAAAAAAAATATGAGTTTATTTTGGTACATATATATATCCAGTTTAAATACCAATTTAACGCTGAATGTGAACATCTGCAAATATTCGTACATGATTATCAGACGTTGTCATTCCAATTATTATATTGTAACTGGTGTTAAAAAAAAACTAAAAAAAAAAACAAAACCACAAAACTAATAATAACCATATATATGCCGATAAACAGGACCGTTATGTACAATAAAATAATTATTCTACCTTCTTAATATCACGATCGCCTATTGTGCGAAACTGAATCGTCATTGGATTTCGACGAATATTTATTTACCGGTGACTTTTTTGTTAACAATTCTCGGCATATAACGACGATAAAATAATATGTTATGGTGGAATAAGAGTGTAATGGGCAGTAACTGTGGACAGCTGTCATCCTTCGACGGTTGCCCAGTCTGTTGTCAGTGTTTCCATAACTGCTGACGATTTTTATGATTCCGTGAAAACAAAAAATCAAGACGAGACAGAACGAAATTGCACAGGGTGTGAACGTGAATCTATCTTCGACGGGGAGTTAACTGGTTCTATTACACTACTGGATTCGCAACGTTCTGTGAAAATTCACGCGTATCTGTGATTTGGTTGTAAACGTAATTACATTTTTGTTTTCTTCTCAAACGCCCGATATTTTGTCAACTGTCAACGGAGAAACAACGTGAGGTTGGAACTTGAAGGGAAAGCTAAATTTAATACTGGTATGATCAGTTTACCCCGTTAATCGACTGCGCCAATGCAGTGATTTTTTCTAAACATGTTATTTTAGAATTCATCTCTAAATAGTTATATTTCAAGACTTTTCGGTGGTGTTACTACGCGAACAAATATTTTTTTTGTTTTTGTTTTTGTTCTGTAAATAACGTTTCTTTTTTGTCGTCCAATAAGTTGATGGGAATAAAATGACTTACCGGCCATGTTCATTGGGTAGGGCGGGTTGTGTTGTAGCTGGTATCCCGTTGAAGACATGTATTGCTGTTGGGCGGCACTGGGGGACGTGTTCAACATCGCGGCAGCGGGATGATGATGATGGTTAAAACTATTCGCGAACTGTCGTGACTGGGAGAAGTCTAGCGTTGTCCATGTCGACATGTCTTCGTTGTGGGGTCCGCTAGCCGCTGCAGCCGCGGCGGCAGCGTCGATATTGTTGTAGTATGGGTATCGGCAATGAAACGGGGCATGTTGTTCGCTGTTCGTTGGCGGACTCATTAAAGCTCCATTCTCGGTTCGATTAAACATGCTGCTCATATGGGTTGGCCGCGCACTAAAACACTGCGCCAATGTGTCCGTGTTGGTAACGGCCGCCGATACTGCCCAGTCTTTAGCCCCACTCCACTGCATGGTACGCTCTCACACTGTCGTACAGATTCCAATAAGTAAGACGAGCACTCGACAGACTAGCTTGTTATTGGGATCGACGCATTATTGTTCTGACTACGCTGCCGGCATGTGTTTGTAGTTTGCATCGGGGGACCCTTTATCAACTTTATTGCACCTTAATCTCAGCGAAAGGGAAACAGTGCAGCGGCCCGGGAACGTGAATAATACATATTCCGCACAGTCATTTCTGCATGGTCGTAAAACGGAATGTCTTTTCTGAAGTCGAAATTGCAGACATTTGTTTTCTTGCTGTGAAGAGTTATTTTTACTATGGCGATTGTATGGAGGGTTCAACGACAAGACGTGCGATGTGGGTTTGGATAGTTGAGGTATGCTCGGACCAGGGCCGCAGCGGGTAAACGTAAAAATGAATGTTATTGGTTATTGCCAAGAATACCCGTATGTTTATGGGCACCATTCTACGGATCGACAGGCGGTAAATTCACAGACAACGAGTAAAATTAAAATCGACAAAAAATATAAAAGTATGAATTATTTTTGTTGAATTCAGCCGTGCATATTTTGCGGGGAAATCCAGAGATAATGTGGGGAAACCTATTAGTGAGAATTTTCGATACATTCTCACTTACATGTGGATAGCAGGGAGACATTCAAAACGTGTCATCAAAAGACATTTTACGAGGTCTTTCCATCTTAACAAATCGCATATCGTCTGCAGCTTTCCATCTCAAAATTTCTCAAGATGGGTAAAATGTTTTGAAGTTGAAGCTGTCGATACATTCAGACAACATTCAATCATTGACCGTTAGCTTTTAATCGCGATGAATTATGTTGAAAATTCTCTCTTTATCTGGATTAATTTGAAAGATTCTCTCGTATGTGATTAAATAAAATAAAGGCAATGAAATTAGGAGACGCGTGTTAATTGTCCAGTAGGTCGAAACGGTTCCCATGCATGATGTAGTTTAAACCTTAAACGATGGAAAGCACACCTGTGTGGAAAATATACTCCGCAAAACCAAAAACGCTCCTCGGATTACACAAGATCACTTTTTGTAAAAAAAAAAAATACAAACCGATTAAGTGATGCCCGACGTTCACTCACATAAAGCGACAGTTAAATAAGTGCTGTCGTATTGGCGTGTAACTCATGCACGCTAGACACTGGATTGGTTTAATTTCAACTCGTGTGCACAACACGTTGCTGATCGTGGATGTTACTATATAGGTGCTAACGCAAAATGCAGTTTTCCCCTAAAAAGAAAACCAAAAAACTGAGTTCAGTTTTTCATTTTTGTTACAGGGGAAACTATCGTATAATACGGTGGTATTACGTCCCGACTCAGTTGGCATGACAAATGCGTGCACATTTTGAATAAATTGACATACACAGTCGCCATGGAAACTGTTAAATGCCACGGGAACGCTAACACAAAACACTCATGTTCACTATGACCCCGTACATATTCTATCCTTAGTAGATGAACGATTAGCACTTTTCAGTTTTAATCAAACGGACACGCGGTGCCCTGCTATGTTTGTTGACAATTTAATACAATTTACGCTTGTATCCAGAGGGGGATATTTGGAGAGCACAGAGGTTCGTCATGATACTGGGAGAGATATTTTGTTTTGGCATAACACCATGTGTGTCATTGACTCAGCAAGTTGAAGAGCTTGCAGTATAAATGAAGCTGGGAAACAAAGCCGGTTGTTTGAAGGGTGCATATTAAAACACAGAAGTAGCGAAACTTCAAAGAAAATAATTTTATGTCAGACAGTAGTGGGGGTTTACGAGATACCTTATTGCGCCCATCACGGCTCGCTGCCTCTATTCACTGCACAGAAAAATCAATGACTAATTCATTGCAAAGTACAAATCGCCCTCTTGTCTATTTCATGTAACAAACAAACGGGATCCCGCCCTGCTTGACATCAGAAATCAATGACAAATTGTCGTTCATGATAAAATAAAACATTTTGTTACATTCCTGTTTTAAATCCCATCAAAACATTCCCACAGTCGAGAAAACACTCACAAATAGTTGACAGAATACAATGCTTCATTTTATTTCTGCCCAAATCGTTCTATCACCCATATATACACATTCCCGCCTTGTCATCGACTGAGCACCATCACATTGTCGTCTGCGCAGATAAAATGCAACAATTCGTTATATTTCTGGATAACCCTCGTCCCAGTATCCACGTACGTAATCACCCTTTGACCGACAAGAGATAACAACCACACATTGTTGTCCAAGTAAACAACATAACACGTTTTTATTTTTATTTCCTATTAAAATCACGTGCATATTCGCGCCCAACCGACACAGAGAACAAGCACAAATTGTCGTTTTCGCAAACAAAATAAAAATGTTCATCCAATTTCTCGAAAAATTCCTGTTCTGCTTCTCCAATATAACGCCGTGTCATAAAGACCCGGATCAATAGGACCAGAAAACCCGGTGTAACTCTCGTAATTTTGGTGATTCGAAACATTATTTTGAAACACCTGGTTAGGCCGGAAGTGTGTATTAGTATTGATTATCTTCGAATGGTGAGTTTATTGCGTACTTTCAGAACTCCCGAGAGAACTATTTTCGTGAGATTCTTAACATAACATTTATTTCTCAAGTTTATCGTGAATTTAAAGGGCGACAGTCGTCCTGTTCGATATGGGACTCATAGCGACGTATACAACGCGTGTAAAATACATTGTTTATTTACATGAAATTCGAACACGCGCTGCGCGACGACCACCGCGCTTTAAGGAATCAGTTTTGCGAACGTATTCGTTTAAACAAATTTGCATGACGCCACATTCCCAACTACAAATTAAAATCGTCTGACTTGCCGTAGTTTACGTAGTACATTTCGAACGTGTCCCAATTTGGCCGTCGCCTTGAAATCATGCCTTGTAAAACCCACGCAAAATATGTGAATTTTCCCACGGATTTAACCATAGACCTTGTTTTCTTAGCTCCAGGATTTAACACATTAATGATAAATCGTCGTTTGCAAGTAAGTTGAAGACTCGATTTCAACATCATTATTTAAAAATTAAAAACAAAACAAACGGGAAATGATGACTCGTCGTTGTAAGCGCGACAACGAGGCGCGAACTGTATCGCTTCCCGCGTGACTGCGGCGTAACACGAAACTACGCTTTGAAAAGGTGCTTAGAAATAAACTTCGAAAGTGGAGAAATTAAGGATTCAGCGAAAATAACCAAATTGTAACCGTGACTTTCTCACGAGCATGAGAATTTGCTAGTTTAGTGACGACGATAGCGGTAAACAATATCCTCGTTCACACCCTGGGCCTGGTTCGTTCCTTCACGCGTACATGCTAAAATACCACTACTATTGAACGACCGGGGTAATAACTCATTGATAAACACCTAAACTAAGACTCCAACAAATTGCGAAGCGTCTAAACTTGTTATGATATTGTTCACGCGGTACGTTCGAACTGATAGATATCAACGTGATCAGCTATGTACAAACTTTATATACATAATTGGGAACTGGAGCTTCAGAAACTTTCTAAAGATGGATAGAGGTTATTATCTCCATTTACGATTGATGCTAGCGACGATAAGATTCGTTTCCAGTACCTTTACCTGTTTATTCAATTAAGAACACGTCGTCGGCCCCCGGGACCCCAGAAAAGGCCGAGGCCAATTGTCTCACCACGGCGGCGGACTGATACTTGAAGTGGCCTAGGTGGCGGATATATGTTACATTGTCAACTTAGTTTGTATTGTAAGAAAAGTAATCCCAGACTGCTGGCTATTCATCTCGGTTCTTTTATTCATTTTAAATACATATCGTCCACGTGACAACAAATCCGAGCATTTTGGGTAACGTTCTATGTACATTTCACCTTGAAGGCATGTTGTGAGCTATAAACGCAACTGATATTTTCCGCATTTTACGTCGTTGCAGCGAAATCTGTCTTCCAGTTCAGAGAATTCGGTTGAATAACACACGAAATGCAACGTTAATTGTCAGCTGGATTTCAATTAGGAAGAGCGCAATACGTTTTGTAATTGTGAGATATATGTGTATGAATAACGACGGTTTTAGGGGGGATCCCTCCGCCCCTCTAAATCTGCCACTGGAGACTGTGATTCACGAATCAGTGTACTGTGTACAACTACAAGTTGCACAAATCAACTGTCCCGTTATACTGCATCACATAAACGTGAATTATCACTTTATCTTTGCATGTCAACCTGATTGTTGTTTTTCACGATTGTGACATAATGGACACAGGATTTGATCAAAACTGTTGAAAAAAAAAAAAAATGTTTTGGTTTATTTTGTAAAGAAGTGAGCAAAATCGGCGCCCAATTTCTAGATGCAATGGTGAATTTTGTTAGGCTCGTACTGTGACAGTGGCGGCCGGGTTCGCAGTGAAGTGATGATTGGACCCGCAGTCGTCGTGTTCTTCCTGTATTCATGATATAACCGAACTCCTTAAAATGGATATTCAATATTATCCTCGGTGTTGAGCCAAATCTGTCGACACATCGCGGAAAGTTGAAACAAATTCGCCAACATGTCGAATTGTAATAAAAAAGGCGGACGGATATTGAACGGATTTTGAACATTGAAACATGAATTTCTGAAATATATTTTGTAATTTGTATCTTGTCTTAACGTCACTTTCGTTCTCAGTCAGCATTCAACTCGGGTCATTGACAAGTTTCAGTTCGAAAGCTATTATTTACAGTTAAAACGATTACATATTTGGGAACGTCATAGGAGTAATGACCGCTGCTTGGCAGGATAGGGCAGTTATTTACGAGCAGATTCAATCTACCGCGTACCATCGCGACGACGAGCAGTGCTCGATGGCCTATCGCGCGATCGCGGGTTTGCACGCGACCAATGATGAAATTGAACATGCAAGGTATAAATTACTTCCGGTTCATGTACCAATATAGTGGTAGGGGTAAATTCTTCACTGTCGCGAGATTAACTGTCACTTTTTGCGGGTACTAGAGGAAATTACG